TATAAAAGAGCAAGATGCACCCACTCCAGCTCTGGGTCCCCTTCTCTTCAGAGAAGTCTCCTGCCTCTGTGTCTTTTAAAATAAACATGCTTTCTACACTTGCCTTGGTGTTTCTCCGGTATTTAATCTTCAACACCAGCGGGACAAGGACCGATCCTGATCTACAAGACTGGTATCAAAATGTTTTAATGCATGTATATATTATGTAATGTTTAAATCAGGTTAAACCCATCAGTCTCCTTAAACATATATATTTATTCTGAAAACTTTCAAAATCCTGTCTTCTAGCTTTTTGAAATGCATAGTAGGTTATTAAATCATCTGCAGGTTCTGTCCTGTGGAATAGCACACCAGAACCTCTTGCTTCCAAGTGTAACCTACGTATCTCTTTTCTTGATCAGCCTTTTCTTGTTCTCCTTCCCCTGCCCCCAAACACTGTCTCTGGCCTGTGGTAACTACCAATTCATGCTTAACTTCTGTAAGGTCAACTTTTTTAGATTCCACACACGGGTGAGAAAATGTGGTATTTGTTTCTGTTTCCAGCTAAATTTACTTTACACAATAATCTCCAATTCTATCCATGTTGTTGAAAATGACAGGACTTCATTTTTTTTTTACAGCTAGAGAGTACTCCACTGTGTCTGTGCCACATTTTCTTTATTCATTCACAGTTGATCAGTTGTTTTCGTATCTTGACTATTGTGAATACTGCTGCAATGTACATAGGAATGCAGCTGTCTTTTTTTCCAAAATATTTTTAGTTGTAGATGGAGACAATACCTATATTTTGTTTATTATATATTACTTAATGTAGTGCTGTGGATCAAACCTAGTGCCTCATGCATGCTAGACAAATGCTCTACCACTGAGCCCCAACCCCAGCCTCAGCTGTTTCTTAGTGTACTGATTTCATAAAGATCTGTTTAAATGGAAAATTTTTTTTAAAAAAATTTAGAACACTTTTGAGATTACTTGAATGATATGCTATGTCTTTACTTTGGTGACTGTGTATTAGTATTATAATTTTCCTCACCTGTTAAGGAAATAATGAGCTACTTCAAAAGTATAAAATAACACTAAACTTCTCAGTACTCTAAAGTAAACTTGGATATTACATCTCTATTCTTTTGAATAGTGGATTATTTAGGATTATTTAGAGGAACAGAACATATATGGTTGTGATTACAAAAATGGGATTTATTTCATTGGCTTACAGGATCAGAAGCTTAATAGTCCTACAATGGCCTTCTGCAGGCTAGAGACCCAGAGAAACCAGTAGCTCCTCAGTCCAGGCAGTTGGAGCTTTCAGAAGAGGCATCAAAGATGCAGCTCCAGTTCCATACCAAAGGCCTGAAACTTCCTAGGGAGTCTCTGCTCAGAGTCTGCTGGGGGATAGTGAAGGAGCAGGAGTCTGAGTTCCTCAGGGGATCACACTAGCAATTGGAACACCTGTTGAAGAACAAAAGAGTTTGCATCTGTTTGGCTTCCTCCTCTTTTTTGTTCCATCCAGTCCCCAACCTATTAGAAGTTGCTGCCCACCTTAGGCTGGGTCTCTCCTTCAGCTTGACTCTGTCATGCCCATCATTCCCGGAAACATACTCATGGACATGCCAAGAAACTTCTTAATTTGGGGCATCTCTTAATCCAATCAAGTGGACCATCTTGATTAGCCCCCATACTAAAACAAAAAGAATGTTCATTCAGTAACAAGATAATCTTATTGTTTTGACTGTTTAATAGTGCTGTGTTTATCTTTTTGTCTAATATGTGAGATTATTTTTGTTGCATTGAATGAATCCATATTCGTTCACAGATGTCATTGTGTCTGTGTGTGTGTGTGTATGTGTGTGTTTTATCCTTACTGTGCTTTTTATTCTGTTACTTCCAGGTTTGTTAGAATTGTGTGGTAATATAGAGTAAATTAAACTACAAAAAAAGACTTTTTCAAAGCTCTAACTCTTTGTCCCCTTTTATTTCTTTCTGTGATGTTAGCAGTCATGGAAAACCATTACCTAAATATATTTATTAATTATCACTAGCAAATGGTGTAGCCTAATTCAGTCATTCCTTCTTGATTTATTAACTGAAATATTTCAATAAGAGAAATGTCCTTCATTAACTGTTTTGTTATGTAGAAATAGTTCATGGAGAAAAGGATAATAACATACTTTACTCTTTTCAGTTTACTTAACCAGTTTTAAAAATGTTTTTCTAACATCCAGCAAAAGTTAACACTAGGCATATAGTCAATTTTAATGCATGGATTTAAGCATATGTGAAGTGTTTCAGTCTCTTATGGTCATTACCCTTGTGTATGCTCAAATTATTTATTTTTCATCAGAGGAAGTGTATGAAAGTTGATTGCTAAATCGTTTTGTTTTATTTTCATGTTGATATTTTCCCTATTTTCTGGGATGTAGGCTCTGAAACACCACCAGTGAAGTTGGCAGACCAAAAAAAAAAAAAAGTGAATCCGATCAAGTCACTAGATATAGATATATCTACCTATTTAAAGAAAATGCAGGAAATGAGGGAGTTGTTCAGTGGTATTTCATGGAATGTGGGACAAAACAATCTTTTTTCCCTAGGAATTTGATTTAAAGTAGTGAAAAAAATAATTATTTAGTCATTAAGGGACATACATAATAAAACAACAAAGATACTTTATAGCATCTCTGTCAGAACATCTTTAAAAGGAACTGGCTAATACCAGGGCCTGATAGGTGAAGAAAGTATAGAACCATACATTCTGCTATGGGGTATGTAAAATTTAGTGGCCATTTTGGATCCAATTTGACAGGTTTTTTGGATAAGTATTCTCTGTATAACTCAGTAATATATCTCCTAGTTATTTCCCTTGTAATAATGAAACAGGTCATTTAATACTTTATACATGAAAATTCATAGTGGCTTCATATACAATTTTCCCAATTAGAAACAGTCCATATGTTCATCAAAAGGGAATTATATACACTGGAATCATTGTCAGAGTAAAAAGGAATTAATACATGAAGCCACATGTATGGAGCTCAAAAGCAGAGAGCAAGAAACAGGCTCAAAAGGCAACATGCTATATGATTTGAAATTCTGGAAAAGACAAAATTATAGGGACAGCAATCAGACTAGTAATTTCCAGAGGATGGTATGGGAAAGAGATTCACTAAAAAGAAAGGGTTTCAAGAAGTTTGGGAAATATTTTATAATATATATAATGATGGAAATATTTTATAGCCTGATTGTATCCATGGTTACATGAATGTCGGGGTTTGCACAATTCATAGAAATGTATATTTTAGAAAGGGTGAATTTTATAGCAAGTAAAACCAATAAGTAACTGGAAAATATAATGGGAGATTTAATAAACACAGGAATGCCAGCTCGTTTTAATATATAACATTTATTTAGAGTTTGATTTCCTGTTGATTTGAGACAACAAAGAGTATTAAATATTGACTTGATATTTGACATTAAGGAATTATTGTCTATTAATTAAGATATAGTTAATATAAAAGTATTTTAGAAATAAAAGCTGAAATTTTTACAGATGCAATGATATAATTACTAGAATTTGTTTCAGAGAAATCTTTCAGTGGAAGAGAAGGTAAACACACATAGATAAAACAAGATTGACTATGAAGTGGGTAATTAATAAAGTCAGGTGAATATTACATGAGAGATCATTAAGCTATTATCTCTTTTGAAATATGTTTGGAAAATTCTGCAATAAAAATTTAAAAATTATAGCTTAGTTTTACAAAAAAATGTTTAGTTACCGGTATTCTGCAATGAGTAAATTTTATCACAGAAATTTAATGATAGTTTCATATTCTAAAGTTTATTAGTAAAATATACCTTATAATCCCACTCAAGTGGAACTATGGAATCCTTACAAAGATACTAAAGAGTAGATGCCAAACATCATAATCACATTGGCATTGTAATTTTTTTTTTTTTTTGGAAAGCAAGAAAACCTACCTTCTTTGCAAGATTAACTGAAATTGACGATGAGCTATGAAAGCATTGTTTCTCAGTGTAACCCATGGCCTACATACTTCTGTGGGGCCTGGGAATTAATAGATGAAAATATCGGTCTGATTATATCTATATTTCTATATCTATATTTCTCTATATATGTATATTCTTTCTTTCTGAAAACATTCCAAAATCTCTAATGAGGTAGTCTCTAGCCCCTTCCAGCATTGTTTCCAAACTCCTACTTCAAAATAATTTCCATTTTTAGTTTCCAGAAATTGAACAACTCTTTTTAGTCATGTCTCAGTTACTTATAGATGGTTTTCTAAAATTTAAAAAACAAAAAACACATTTTCACTACATGTGATTGAAGATCTCCTTGTCCTTTGTGAAGCCCTCCTGAGCTAGTTCAGCTTAATTGCAAGAGTGCTATTTTAGAATTTTAACAGAATATGTGCTTACTATTTGTTTACATGTATGCCTTGTTTTAAACCAGATGAAGTTACTTTTTATTACAGAAAAGACAGAGTTTTTGTTTTTGCCTTTATTAATTATTATATACCTAGTACTTACAGTGATATAGTCTATGCTTTAAAGATAGCAGTTTACTCAGTTCAAGTTGTTTCCATACTTTGCTGATAACACTTAAGCATATTAACATAAAAACAGAAATGTGTTGGCTTTAAAACAATTTTTTTTTAAAAAAAGTATAAAAAGACTATAAAAGTGGAGATACACAGAGGTGGTTTTATCATTCAATATCTCCTATAAAAGGCTTTTAAATTGTTTTTAATTACGTATTTCAGCATTGTTAAACCTAAATGTATGTACATTATTTTAAAATTATCACTATTTCATTTATCAAATTATTGATATTATTATATGCTAATATTTAATATGTAAAAACAAGTAATAAAATTATTAGAGCTAATGTGATGAATAATAAGGGTAGGTGATATTGATTTAAATAATTTAACATTTTTACAGCGGTTGAGGAATTCATCCAAGTTTTATTTATTTAATTCTAGTTGTGTTGCTTGATACGACAACTGTGCTGGGAGAACTAGGATGGAAGACATATCCATTAAATGGGGTAAGTTTAAATGTCTTAAAAATTCTCATCCTTGTTAAGGTCTCTTGTAAGAGTTGAAGGAACAGTAGACTTTTAGTTCTATTTAATATGAATTTTGATTTATAACTTAAATCCTATAGAAAAGATTAAAATATCATTAAACTGGTGATTGAAGGGGATGATTCTAAAATAATGATTTAGAAGCCTTGCTCCTAATTTACATCTTACCCTTTAATGCTGTGTTTTATGCATAGTAACACTAGAATTCTCCCATGTTTTCTTCAGAAATAAATTTCCATGTGTAGTTTCAGACACTTTTCTGTATGTTACATTTGTTAATCTTGTGTTTGTGCATAAGCAAGCTTCCAAGTATCACAAGTATATTGTGTGACACTAACAATTTGGTTTTGAATAGAAAATATGTCTACTAATGTAGTATGTGTTTGAACTTGACAAGCTGATGTACTGTGTTCTTAGCTGGAAATAGTTGATTTTGAAGGTTTATTGGGATGTATGATTTACAAAATATAGTTTTTCATGTACTGACATTTTAGCTATGGTTGTAGTTGACTTCTTATGGTTTGGCCTGTTTTGCATTTTCAAATTGCAATGAATTTCTTCATCATTTGTTGTTATTAGGCTAATATAAAAGAGTGGTTTGTGAATTTTTTACTTGATATTTTTCTATTTAATTAAACTCTTCAATAATAAGAACAAATGTTTCAGCTGTGCTTGAGTTAATCTTTTTTCATAGAAACTGTATTTTCGCATTCATCATATTCTTTGTTCATAAGTTTTACATTGCTTCTACCAATAAATCTGAAATTTAAATTCGAAAGAAAAGTTGATCAAAACACATTTTAATGCCATCCATTTCCCTCCAAATTCTGTTTTTGTCATTTTTTAATGCAGAGTAATACTCCATTGTGTATAAATGTCACATTTTTTTTTATCCATTCATCTATTGAAGGGCATCTAGGTTGGTTCCACAATCTTGCTATTGTGAATTGTGCTGCTATGAACATCGATGAAGCAGTGTCCCTGTAGCATGCTCTTATTAGGTCTTTAGGGAATAGACCGAGAAGGGGGGAATAGCTAGGTCAAATGGTGGTTCCATTCCCAGCTTTCCAAGAAATCTCCATACTGCTTTCCAAATTGGCTGCACCAATTTGCAGTCCCACCAACAATGAACAAGTGTACCCTTTTCCCCACATCCTCGCCAGCACTTGTTGTTGTTTGACTTCATAATGGCTGCCAGTCTTACTGGAGTGAGATGGTATCTTAGGGTGGTTTTGATTTAGAGCAGATTATGCTAAGTGAAGCTAGCCAATCCCTAAAAAACAAATGCCAAATGTCTTCTTTGATATAAGGGGAGTAACTAAGGACAGAGTAGGGAAGAAGAGCATGAGAAGAAGATTAACATTAAACAGGGATGAGAGGTGGGAGGGAAAAGGAGAGAGAAGGGAAATTGCATGGAAATGGAAGGTGATCCTCAGGGTTATATAAAATTACATACAAGAGGAAGTGAGGGGTAAGGGAAGAATAATACAAGTGGAAGAAATGATTTATAGTAGAGGGGGTAGAAAGAGAAGAGGGGAGGGGAGGGGAGGGGAGGGGGGATAGTAGAGGATAGGAAAGGCAGCAGAATACAACAGACACTAGAATGGCAATGTGTAAATCAATGGAAGTGTAACTGATGTGATTCAGCAATCTGTATACGGGGTAAAAATGGGAGTTCATAACCCTCTTGAATCAAACTGTGAAATATGATATATCAAGAAATATGTAATGTTTTGAATGACCAACAATAAAAAAAGAAAAAAAAACACATTTTTATTTTTTTGGGATGTTTACATATTGCTGTTTAAATTTGACATTTTATTTCATTAAAATATATATTTTCAACTCAAAGCTTAGCATTAACACTTTATCGTCCTATTTTCTTATAGATTTATTTTATATTCTGTATTTTTTTCAATTTTCATTTTATTTCAATAAAATGCTCATTAATCCATTTCTGAGAAATATATCTATAAAAGTAAAATTATGCTTTTATCATCATACTCTTCCATGACAATTAATAAACTTCAGTTTGGGGTTAAATAAACTTTAGGTTAATAGCATCAGCTAATTAAGTATTAAATGGACCATGTTTATCATTAAGTAATGAAAAAAATGAATGAGCATTTCTTTTCGAATATCATTCCAAGGTGTGTGTATGCTTATATACATGTAATCATAAGAGATATACATCTATCTATCATATAGGTATTCACAATGTATAAATAAATACATAGATGTAATTTCTAAAGTACACAAAACAACTTATAAACACTTCCAAACATTAAGTAGTTTAAAGCCCTCTTTTCCATTTTCTGAAACAAATGAGAAAAAGCTATTAGAGGCATTATTCTTGGCCTCATGTAGTCAAAGCCAGGTATCACATGAGGAACAGAAGATTTGAACTTGTTCTAGTGGCTATGTACGGCTTGATCAGGCCTCATTTTTGAGGAAACGGGTAATGCAGAGACTTAGAGAATCATAAATGAAGTTGCTTGCTGCTGTCAGTCTTGTGATGGATTTTCTCTGGATATTATGAAGTAGATTTGGGGGTTATGGAAGAGAGAGGGCAGGACTGTCAGGAAAGGAGCCACTTAGCTCATGGTTTTCTATTTTCCAGACACTGCCCTCAGCATATTTTGTTTTCACAATGGCCTTTTGAAGTGTGTCCTATATTTATTTTCTTGTCAGAGAATCCTAGTCCTAAAAAAGAGTGAGGAATAGAAAACACTAACAAATTTTGTAATACTAACAGCCAAATGGTGAATGGTGGAATATAAAACTAAGATATTTCTGACTCTAAACTTGTGTCTTTCTGGTGACTCTGCTAAGAGAGAGAGAGGCATGAAAACTTCATGAAAGACCTTTTACAAATGTGCAGTCTTTACCTAATTGATTCATATTTCTTTTCTTTGATACCCTTACACACACACACACACACACACACACACACACACACACACACAATATTTACAGTTGGGACACTACTTAACTATTACCAAGAGGAAAGAGAGAAAGAATAGGGGGACGAGAAGAGTAAAATAGAAAATGAATAGATAGAAAAGATAAATAGAATGAAGTAGGAAAGTATTTGATGGTTATGTTTTATTGGACATTTGCCACATGCTAGACTTCACCTCAAAACACTTTACTCAGATCAGTCCTGTACATCAAATATAATTCATCCTCATTGGTATATGTGGAAATTGAGGATTCGGGTGCATTAAATAACATTCACAAGGTCATAAAGCTAGGAGTTAGTTCAGCAAAAGTCCTAAGCCAAATATATCCTAATCTTGACACTTATGGATGGTCATTTCACAGCTAGTTGCTTTTTATTTCTTCTAAGATTCTAACAGGTAAAGATAAAGGTCCATGACCAACATATTTAGACTATGGAGGGAAAAATAACATGTGGATTCAAACTTTAAAAAGTAAATAACTAAACCACGTTGAAATATTATCATTAGTGTGGGCTATAATACTTTTAGGTTATCTCCCAAATAATAACCTATATTTACTAATTGAGAACAGTAGGACTATTTGAATATAAAAGCACCTGGATATATTTCACAATATATGTGGATGAAACTATATAAATTTTAAGGTAAGATCAAGGCAATTCAAGGGAAACAGTAAAATGGATAGAAAACAGTGTTAAAGAAAATGTACAATTTAAATTATCTTCTAATAAGGAGGATAGATTACTAGTAAGTATCAAACTTAATGCTATTTATAGGCTAAAATGAATCAAATATATGAAATATGATATGTCAAGAGCTATGTAATGTTTTGAACAACTAATAATAATAATAAAAATAAAACTGCTGGTCCAAAAGGATGGACCCAGGCACAGATAACTAAAAAAAAAAAAAAAAAAAAAGAACTAATAAGTAAGAAGGAAGAACTTTGAAAAAAAGACTATTAGAAATGCCAAGAATGAAAATAGACTTATAAGATCTGTGGGAACCATTTATTACTATATAACATTTAAACAATAATTTCTAGCTACTTATTAAAATTGAAATTTTATTTATTTGGATTTATAAGACTCTTGAGTTCTTAGTTTTACTGAGTCAGACTAATTTGAATGAACAATTTTAACTATTATCTTTTTCAGGCACTAATTTAGGTAGTTTAATGAATATGTCATGTGTGGAAAATATGATTAGATAATATAGTAATTTGTCATAAAAAGTATATCTAATATTTCTATTAGTAGATAGTAAATCTTGTATTTCTATTATTTCTATCTAACATATTCTACTATTCCTGTGAATTATATATTTCTTTGGAATAACGTTTTTAAATTGAAAGCTTTCTTTCTATATAAGAAACAGAACTGAGATGAAATACTAAAATGTACTATATAAAATAAAATAAATTTAATCAGTAATTCCATAAGTCTTTATTTTTTTTCCTCCCGTTTTAAGTTAAAGAAGCCAGATGACCAGGAGTGCTATGCTGATAGTTACAGGAGTAGGCATTCACAATGTGCCTGTGAATAGAATTGCTATGATCATTGGAGTAGGGGGTGAGCTTCCCTATTTTTTGAACATGGAAAAGGGATGAATAGTCTTGAGTGAATGACTTCATATCTTACAAAAGTGGAAACAGAATATGTTCATTTTCTGAAACATTTGCTTGTATCAACATATAATTTATAGTTTATTTTCTTTTAACCATTTTCCAGAATTCAATTTAACAAACTTCTTTTTTATGCTCTATGTGCCATGCATCCTGTTAAGTGTGCTTAAATAACAGATTTTTCTAGCCTCAGGCAGTCTTAAATTATAGAAATTATACTGCACAATCGGAAGGCCAAAGAAAGTGTCTTCACATAGTTTTGTGTAATGTTTTGTGAAAGAATATTAAGGAAAGGATTAATTCTGGTGAGAGAAAATTGGGTATGAGAAGAGTTGTATCAGCTTTTTTTTTTTTTTTAAATAAACTGTGAAGGA